ACATTTCTAATTAATTAATATTTCGTTGCATTTGGCGGCATCCTCTTTTTACATACAAGAATTCACATGCTGGCAAAATGTGCCCCTCTCTTTGTTGACATGTTTTGGTTGTCTAAGGAGAATGTATTTGTCAAAGAGCTTGTATCAAAACTAGTCACAAACACCTCGCAAAATTGAGATTAAAAAATAAAAAGATACAAAATTAGGAGACAAATAGGCTCGGTTTTAGCTTAATTTGCCTTTAGTTTAAGTTTAAACCATATTTTATTTCATTCATTTTTATGTATACATAATATGCATAATTAATATAAGGATTCAGAAAAAGTATTACATACTTATATGAATCTGTCTCCTTAAATAATGACAAGCAGGTGACAACACTAAAAACTTTACAACATACTTAGTAAGAAATATGTTTGAAATAGACAAGTGATAAACTTTGTAAATATATGAAGGAAAGAAAGACGGAGAGTGAAAGAAAGAGAGAGAGGAGGGGGCAGGGGAGAAAGGGGGATAATGAAGTGTTTTAATACCATTATGATACTAAACTGTAGTTGCTACATTGTACATAATTACATATTGTACATCAATTAAACATACGCAAATGTGTTAGTTCACACAACTCTCTGGGATCAATGAGGTAGCACTATTAATTTGCGAAACGTTTGGTTTTAGAAATAAAATATTGTATACAACGGAAAACGTTTTCATTTTCATTGATAGTTAGATTTGGATCTCCGTACAAAAGCATGTCGAGTGTGTAATTTTCGGGCAAATTTAAAAAACATCCATTTCTTATGTCTGTATAATTAGAACAAAATAGAAGAAAATGTTCAGTAGTTTCGTGTGACTGTCTACAGGAGCAATAAGGACTATCGACAAGATTACGACTAAACAGGTGGGCATTTAAAGAACTGCAGGACATCCTTAACCTAGCGTGATGAACCTGGTCAAGACGATTCCCAAAATTATAATAAGGAGGGACAGTACGGGAGTGTCTGTGTAGGTAGTTTTTCAGATTACTTATAGAGGGGTTATTTTTTACTAGTGGTGGTAGCGAGTTCCAAAGGTCGATAGAAGAAGGAAGAAAAGATTTCTTAAATAAATTAGTTTTACAAAATACATTACTCAGATTATCAGCATCACGTGTATTATATTGATGAGCGTCGGTTCTGCGCTGAGGAAGTAGTTGTGAGAGATATGGGGAGAGAGACCAAAAATCATTTTGTGTATTTGAACTGTTTTCTTAACATTGCGTCTATATTGTAGACTATCCCATCCAGTTTCCTCATAAAGCTTAGCATGACTAGTTAGTTTAGTCCCACCCGTCATAATTCTAGCAGCTTCAAGCTGAATATTCTCCAAAGACTGACATTGTTGAATAGTTAAGTTATCCCAGACCATATCGCCATATTCTAGAATAGGTCTGATAAATGAAAAATACAAAGTTTGTAGAGAGTTTCTGTCTATTTTGAACTTAAATTTCCGTAAAACAGCGAGTTTATTAGAGGCTTTCTTTATCATAAAGTTAATATGTTCAGACCAAGTACCATCATGAGAGAAGAAGAGTCCTATATGTTTGTGATGTTTGACCTCATTAACAGGAACGTCATTCATAAGTAAAGGTGGGTGATGGGGCTTATTGAGTTTTCTACTAATCAGAAGAGATTCAGTTTTATCAGGGTTAAAAGTAACCAACCATTTTTCAGACCAGGCATATATTTTCCTTAAACTGTCATTCAGTAAGTCTGCACATTGAAGCGGAGTATCTACTATAGCATAAAGTGAAGTGTCGTCGGCAAATAGTTTTATTATTGCGTTAATGTCGTCAACTATGTCATTTATAAAAATTAGAAACAGTAGAGGGCCTAGTATTGACCCCTGGGGAACACCAGCCCTTATTACTTTCCACTCAGAGGTTTTACAATTTATAACTACTCTTTGCTTTCTGTTATCTAAATAACTTCTAAACCACAAATGCAAACTCCCCCCAATGCCTATTTTATGTAATTTAAAAAGTAGCCCTGCATGCCATACTCTGTCGAAGGCTTTGCTGATATCACAAAAGACCATTCTAATTTCTTTACCTTTATCTAAAGCCGAATATATATCATTAGTAATGGCGAGTAATTGATTAATTGTAGAGTCACCAGCCCTGAATCCGGATTGGGAAGATGATAATAGAGAGTTCTCAATAATAAACTTATACAGATATTTATATACACATCTTTCCATTACCTTTCCGACAATAGATATTAATGATATAGGACGATAATTGTTGAGAAGAGAAGGGTTATCTTTTTTAAACACTGACGTAACATTAGCTAATTTCCAATTATTAGGAAAAGATGAAGTAGTTAAAGAGTTATTGAAGATTACTTGGAGGGGGTAACTCAAGATTATTGCTGCCTCCTTAAGGAGTCTAGGATTAATTAGGTCAGGTCCGACTGCCTTAGAGCAATCTAGATTTAATAGAACAGAAATAATGTCATTCCTATCTATATATATATGACTAAGAAGAGGTTCGTTGTTAGTAGTAGGTGGAAGTTCAGCATTAGTATCATCGACGGTAGAGTTGAGACAGAAGAATTCATTAAATGCATTTGCTTTATCAATGTCATCAGAAAAAATAGAAGTTTGTGTATGAATGGGTGGTATATTACAGGTTTTGTTGGTGTTAAGCATAAGTTTACCTACCGTTTTCCACCAAGACTTCCCACGTGTATTGTTACCCAGCATTCCACATAGTTTACGGACATATTTAGTTTTTGCATTACGTATTGTATTTACACATTTGTTCCTAATTTTTTTATACTTACACCAATCCTCTATGGTTCCTGATCTCTTAGCTAATCTAAATAATCTTTTACGTTTCCGAGCTAACTTACGAATTTCACTGGTCATCCACGGAGGTTCTCTGCTACGTATAGTAACTACTTTGTTTGGAACACATTCCTTAGCGGTGTTAATGAGTATATCAGCAAAGCCATCGACAGAGGCATCTAAATCATCATATGTTAAAACAGTATCCCAATCAACCCCGGGGGGTAGGGATGACTAGGTGGAGTGGTATACTGAGGCTGGGGCTGAAACCCAGGTTGGCCAGGAGTAAGACTCATTGTATCTCGTAGAGTGAACACCTCAGAAAGTTCAGTTAGTTTGTGTCTCTTAGGATCCCGGGGGGTGAGTGAGCCGGTCGAGGAGGAGGAGGATGAACTAACTCGATTACGTTTTTCTCCTTGAAAAGACGATACAGACATGTGTGCTAAAAGTACATATGAATTGGCAGTTTCAATATTACTAAAACAGTTCAGCGTAGATAACTGTAGGTAAATATGGACACCTACATGTTATCATCGGGATACATATACAATGGCTGCCACAGAATGCACGGGCCAGGCATGAGTACTCACTGTTCAATATGAAGGCCAAAATATAGCTACAAATTGTCAATAATGTGGCATTTTATCGCACTGTGGTATAAGGAGGCCTCTAAAAACCCGCCATTTGAATTATGGACCTCAGGACCTCGCTGAATTACCTTTTACATTTTTGTTTACCGGAGCTGTTTAGGTTGACGTCATTTCGAGGCCAGAGCGCCATGTTTAACGTCGAAACGTCTGCAGTAGTCTGGTGTAGAAGGAATGCTACCCTAGCAAAGAAATTTATTCAACCACACAATATTTACCTCTTACATATTCATTGAGAAATATTCTATTTCTTTGTATGATATGAAGCTGGACGTGTTTGATGCTCGTTAGTTTGCACGTTGGTTCCGTTGTTGTATACCTTGTTCTCATTTGACATTACTCACTTGGATTGACCAAGATTTACATGACGAGTATCGTCTTGTATTTGATTTAGTTTTAATGAATTATAAAATCATTTTTAATTCGGCAATTTTCGACGGAACACTGAACCCTGCTTCAAGTAGTCTTTCTATCCTATAGTTTCACACTTCAGAAATTGGCTAATGGTGTGTACGTAACAAACACATCACTTAAGATTTACCTGAATATATATTTCTGTTTACAAAAAGACAGAAAAATGAGACTAATAAATAATCGAAAAAAATCCTTTCTGACGGTACGGGATTTTAAAAGAGACATCCATTTAATGTTTACCTATATCATGTCTATATAATGCGTATCTATATATAAAGGCTAGTCACGTGTGGCACTTCGTAAACAAAACATTTCAAATTGCGAATTATATGTTATGTATGTAATCAACCTATTTTTTTTCTGAATTAGGAAATAATTATTGTATTCTTACATATTCAGAAAATAAATAAACCCGATCTCACACTTATCTATAGGTAATTTCCAAATTTATATAAACCACGATAAAATCGCACATCTGTGCGATAGAACGGCAGAGCTTGCACACAAATGTGCGAAAGCTTATTTCGTTTTCTTTTTTTCCGCACATCCCTCATAGTGTAACGTTTTATGATTCCACAGCTGTACGTATTACTAATGGAACATGTTACACTTTGTTTTTACGACGGTGTTAAACACTGTTAATGATTTTTTTACTTTGCTTATATAAAAATGAGATTGTTCCCAATGCTCAAGGTCTCACAAAGATAACAACATTATTTTTTGATGTTTTATGGGTTACTTCTGTGGTGAAGTTTACGCTTGCATACATGTCCCAGATTAATTTTATTCTTATTTTATCATGATTATGATTCCTTTCCCTATTCCATTAATCTCAGTTATTCCTCAATTAGTAAAACCCTTTTTTACGATTTCCTAATAAACGATCTAGACGTATCACTAAAGGAACTGTTTATTCTCATTGGGTGCGGTTTAAATCTAAATCATATAACATCATACATGTAGCTTGTAAATCTAATGTTTATGTTAGTAACGTCGTGATTTTAAATTGGTTCCATCATGGTTTGATACTGCTCATGTATGAAGGGTTTGTATAAATATGGATCGAATAATTTTTCGTCCTAATCGACTGACGAGAATTGCTTTGTCTCTTTTCAGGTGCCTTATGCGGAGAATATTGCCATATCCCCACTTTGTTCTTCAAGATTATCTTCTGGCTCGGATACTGTAATTCTATGATAAACCCTATCATTTACGCTTGTTCGAGTCGTGAGTTCCAGAGAGCATTTCGTCGGATCTTGAGATGCAGAGTTCATAGAAACCCAAGGTTGTTTTACAAATCTAAGTCTAGGAGTACATCGATATCTGATTTGAACTCATCCCACCAACTGTCAGTGAAAAAATCACCAAATATTTTGTTTAGGTCTGAGTTTTCTCGGCATTCAATGAGGCCAATTTTCCATCCAAGCGTGGTGGTGGATAATGGACGACGAAATGATTCACATCTTTACTCTAAAGAATTATATTCGGCGGAATCAGAAAACGGTAAATTATCACCCTGCATGAAGCATTTGAAAATCTGTGAGAGTTGTGATAGTGAAAACCTCTCTCTCAGTGACGACCAAATGGAGGCTTTAAAGGAGGAATGTCTGCAACATTTACGGTGACAGTTATCAACAGTGAAACACCACGAAAACAATGGCAAAAAATATATCGACAAGACTAAAAGTGCTGTTTTTCTCATATGGTATCACATTTTCGGCAATCAACTGTGTCTCGAATCATGCGAGAAAAGCTGTGAGCTAGAACAATATTTATAAAAACGAATTGCTCTGTAGCTTTTGATTATGGCATAAATAGCTGCATGGTGTGGTATAAAAAAAAACATCACGAGCAAAGACTATAAATGCTTGTGTCTACTTGTTACGAATTCTATTTGAATAAAGATTGTTTTTGTCTATATGATCGAAGCCGGTCGGTGATGTTTTATGTTTGATGTGAAAAGATATCCTGAAAACTCCACACAGGGCAACATCTGTTCCTAACCTCTAATATTGGAGAGAATTACTTTTAACATATAATCACCTTACCATCAATGATGTGATCGCTGGTGTTTTCAGTCAACCTTTGCTGTCAACTTCGTCGTTAACGATAATCTCATGCTTATTATTTCAAATAAACAAAAATGACAATTTGCGCAGAATCATCATCGTTAATAAAATGCAATACAGTTAGAGCAAAAATGAAAAAAGAAAGATTTACACGCATACTTCGGAAATGTAAATCTTGGTCAAGTGAGTACATGCAACGCATGCTCTCTTATGACAACAAGATATACATCAACGGAGCAATTAGGCAAACTAACGAACATCAAACACGTCCAGCTTCATATCGCACAAAGAAATGTAATATTTCTCAATGAGATAGCTACGTTGACCATAAAACTTCCATTATTCTCCCTAGCCTTTATTTCTCGAAATCCCGTGTTGTGAATTTGCATGTCACCTGACGGCATCTAGCACGGTAGCAGGCCTCGACACTCTAATCAGTTGTGACATGTAAACGCCGTAGGTGGGGATGCAGATACGTTACTATCTAGAAATGGAAAATTCACAATAGGGAAATTGAAGTCATCACGCTTATCGTACAATTTGGAGGAAAACTGTCCATGTTGGTTTCGTTTATTTAGTAGAGTCTACCCTGTCTTTGATTTTTAACTCTGGTGAATAAAAACGATGAACAAGGTCAAAAATCCTCAGCTATTTAAAGACAAGACCTCATAAATTTATCTGAATGTGGAAATGAAGGCCTTTGCAAGGAACATGAAGCCCTGATGTCCCAGTGCTGGATAGCATCATTGGTATACTTTCTGTCCTAGTCTTGATCCCAGCTTGTCTTATCTTCTCGTTCTAGCATCATCACTAGTCTTGCCTTCGTTACCTTGTACACCTCTATCACAGAAGTTATAGAGGTAATGTTCAGTTATAAAGCCCAACGCTAAAGAAACTGGTGGGACTCCAAGCCACCTAAGCAGCTAGCTGCTGATGAAACTTTTCAGTCCTTCCTCTCTGGTTAATGGAACCTCTTATGCATGTCGCTGTATGGGCTATATGGGTCTTGACAGGAGTCAATGTTTGAAGATCGATCTGTCTTAAACATTCCTAGTAGGTCTGACTTACAGATCTTCCAAAGCCTCAATTGCATGTTTCTGCGTGTTGATGATGATACTAGTATATTTCAGTGATACATTAAGCAACTTCTATATACACTAAATCAACCTGTCCACTACGGATGTGATGTCCTCGCCTTGTTATTTTAGCTTGATCTGATAGGTTAGTTATACCCTCTTTTTAATCAAACATTTAGGCTTAACCACACTACTGTCAGGTTCCCTCGCCAGTACATAACCTCTCTGATTAGCTGGTTTATCCAATTGGTATGTTCCACACAACCTGAAAAGCCTTTGCCTTGCATTGAACACTCAGCAGGGAAATCGTTCTGAATTGCATTATATCATTTAAAGCCTTCTCCTTTGGAACAAAATATTCGTCTTCATTCTGACAACATGCTCGAATAATATCTTTGTTCCACACTTTCTTCATTAACTTCTACAGTCTTCTTACATACTTTTAAGGTCATCTAGGGGCCTGGTCCTGATGCAGGCCTTGCTTTCATGATATCATGAATCTCCTTTAAATTAAAGTCAAGCGGAAACTAAAGGTGATCTTCTGTCTCCGTTCGAGAGCAATTCCCAAGTTGAGCGTTCCTTTCTTCATTTCCATTTGTTTACTCTCTGTAAGACCTGACCATTTTCTTCTTGAATTCTTTATAAATGAGTATGGGTCGTCCTCTCCCTTGCTCTTTTGTTCCTGGCCTTCATAATCTGCTCAGATTTCCTGAGCCACACTCTCTAAGGCGTCATCTTGCAGATGCTGCAATCCTATCATTTTTGGATCATTCGCTCAGTTCTTGTCCAAGTCTATCTATGCTTACTCAAAGTTCTCATCTAAACATCTCTAGGTTGGTTGTTGTTCAAATTTGCCTATTCAAGCTCTCCATCATCCAAGATGTAATCGTTCTACATGATACTTAGTCACTCAAGGAAAACTAATTCATAAAGACACACAAAGTGACTGCTGCAATAGTACTGACTCCAGTCAGTATTAGATTTACTACATAACATGGAAAGTCGTTCTATTTTTCGGCAATACATAGAAAAACACTGATATCGTAATAGTGACGTTTATCAGTTGATGGTTGCTGTTGAATATCTCATCATATGATCATGCTCCCATCCGCACTCCTGACCGCTCATATTTGCTCCAGTAGATAGTTGCTGCCGCCTCCGTTTATGTAGTTGGTTAATCTTGTTAGTGGTTCCGAAAGGATCTCTGTTGTTGGCGAAACATCCAGGTGGAAATTCAACTATCAACACTTATATAGATTTTCCCTCATCATTCATTAAATATGACATAGAAAATAACTTCGTTACTGAAATTATGATTATAGCCTAAGATAGGACAAAAGATCCTATGGATTCCAAACTAACTGTTGTATATCTTTACTCCACTATACACTTTCCGACAACTTATGGCTTCCATATTATTTCTACCACGGACACATTCTCACTTGTACACTCTTTCCATTGCAGTATTAGTTACACGTGTATGTGCAATGATACATATACAAGGTACCCATAAGTGCAACAGCAGTTTATCACAAAACACTACTAGTAAATACCATCCTAAAATAAGCATGATACACAACACAAAAGATGCGCATGATTGAACCACACGAATGACTGATTGCTTATATGTGTAACTTATCAAAATATGACAATAAAATAGCAAGATTGATCAAGAAAATTTACGAGGCATCTTTCACAGTGGGTAATCTAGTAAATATTTCGAGTGTATTTGGAATCGTTCACCTGATCACATACCCGTACGGTTGCCGAACAGTACGAAGACAAGTTATACATGTATCCGAGCTGGAAAACAATTTTCTACACATGAAGATTTTCGTCCTTTTTATCAGATTCTCGTTCACCTGATGCGAAGCAAAAACGTTTTGTAAGTAGGCAAGGAGGATGTCGACGACGATTTCCAAATGATAATAGACATTCAAAATAAGCAATTAAACTACAAAAACAAAAAGTGCTTCTGACACTATATAACTAAACACATTGGATTTTAATGATATATTTTATGGACCCAGATTTACAATTGGACGATTGTATTAGAGAGAAGGGGGAGAACTCCCATAGCGCGGGGAAAAAATAGAGGCAGACGCGATTGTTCCAGGTCAAATTCACCACGAAGCTTAAAATGCATCCTGCATTTAATATTTATTTCTTTATATATAAAAAATTACAAATCTTTGATTCATTTTGACGATGATCGTATAAAGGAGCGGGAAACACTCATTTTTAAAGAAAAAAACAATGTATTCTTTAAACATTTGATAAAGCATGGTGTTATAACATAAGTTCTTTAATAATTAGGCAAATCTGGGATAGATATAGCACTGTTACTAATGCAAAACGATATTGTTGGCAGTAATGCAGTTAAGTACTACATATATACAGTTACAAGACAACAATATATATAAAGCATTTCCATGTATGAAAATGGCTAACATCAAACTGGATACTAATAATTAATGTAATTACACACAAACCCTTTAGGAAGTAAACGAACTATTTCATCAAATAATTTCTACTAGAGTTTGCTTTTGCTTGTTAGAAATATATGCTTTAAAATGTTGCATACTTATCAATAATTGACGGAAACCTTCATTCTTACAATCAAAAACGAATTCATTTGGGTTAAACGTTTTTGTCGACACCAGCCATACGTTCAGATTAAGTAATGTCCCGTATTCAAAGTGAAAAGAATGGCTTTAACACTATCATATGATGTTCTTCATACTAACTTGCCAGAATTGAACATCAAAGATACGACATACCTTTCTTTATCAGCCGCTTATCTCGATCTTTTCCTACAACAAAACAAACATGGACAACTTTCCACAAAAGCTGTATAATAAGCCTTATAATAATTTCCTTATGATTAATTTTCCATTTCAGGATAGCAACATCCCTGCATCCTCTAACTACGGTGTTTACATTTCGCAGTTGACTCGATATTCAACAGCCTGTTCGTCATAATTAGAAAATACATATTGTATTCTATTTTTGTGAAAGTGGACATTTTTGATGCTAGTTTACCTCAGATTACACCGATTAACCAATATTACATATTGTCGATGTTCTCCAGGATACTTACTCTTCTGGAACACCTTAATGTATTCTAATTGTACTTTTCGACGCGTCTTTGTGTATATCTTTTAATTTATTGACCTAGTTCTATCGAATAGAAATTTTAATGACGATCCTGTTGCTATGTCCATCTTTTTTATCGTTGTGTGTGTCGCTTCTCTTTTTATGTGATTCAAATAGATTTACAAATTGTGTATATTGTATTAATGTATTATCAATTGCAAGGCAGTGACGGTTGATCATTGACAGCATTATTAGTGGTGTATCACAGAGACAAGGATCCCGTTAAAGATTCAATGGCTTTGTTTATTATTATTGGCGATGCAATCGTATAACTTCATTCTCTTGGTCCAACGATTTCAAATTCAGACTTTGCAATAAAATAAA